CTGTGCCACAGTCTGAGGTTCAGAAAATGAGAGCTGGGCAACTGACTCGTGCAATACACTTGCCCCACATTAATCTTGATCGTACCTTGGGATTTCAGCCGGTCGACTTCGTTGAATAAATGCTTGTTTCGATTTCCTTTCTGGATCCATTCGCAACATATGCCCAAACCAGCGCACCTGTCACTGCTCAATCTGAAAAAGCAGCGGCTGCGCACCAAGGCTACCACCTGGGCATCCTCCCGGTCAGATGGGCAAAAAGTGTTTCTTCGCCTTCCCTTCTGGAGGCATTCACAACACATGGCCAAACCATCGCAGCTGTGACTTCTCTATCTGGAGAAGCAATGACTGTACACCAAGGCTTTCCCGGATATCTGTATTCCGGATCATATCGAGACGCGTAATTCGACAGCGACTTGTCTAGGAAAGCCCATTTCAGCAGCCTGTACCCGTGATCGAAGTTCTTCAGTCACATTCTTCGACTTATTCACCGTAGGTAAGCACGGAGATGAAAATGGACTTGAGCACCGGGAGTTTAGTCTTCAGACTCAGCTATGCTTTGGTCACAGCTCTTCCTGTTAGTTCAAGCAGAACGCCACTGGTTACGCCAATCAGCCGGTCGATCTCTTTCTCACATTTTCCATCACCGGTAAAAACGGTCCCGTGGTACTTGAAGTTTTCTCCATCTGCTCCACTGCCTCTCTGTCAGTCGGAAGAGAGCAACGGGCAGCGGAACTTGAAAGCACTAAGCTTTTCGTTTTAGATGCGCTCACACGCATGCGACCACGTCGCATCGCGCTGCGAACCTTTCTCGAGAGCACTGTAGATCAGTTTCAGAAGATGCTCTCTCTTTTTCACATCTCCTGTATGATACGCCGATGCCTGACTAATAGAGTCATGGACAACATTCAAAGAGGGGGCATAACGCAGCCTTGGCAATAGACCTAGCGTCACTTATATTGACGCTGTGCCTGTTCTCCGCATAAAATGATTGGATGACCCACCTTATGTTCGCTGGCATGCATATAGACTGTTGCGCGGGATCCGTTCATGTGCTTTTTCTAGGTCAGCAAAGTACATATACACCGGATGGGCGATCTCCCACGATTTCTCAACAATCTGACATTGGGCAAATATAAGGTCAGAAGCACTTCGTTCGGGCCGGAAGGCACATTTCTGGCCTTGTATCTTGGAGTCAGTTATTCCGCGACACCCTCTTTTTAGCCCTTTTGCATGGACTTTACACCGTAGGCAGAATAAGGCAAGGGCACGAAAATTGGAGCTTTTCATGTGGTCTCTCTTCTTTAACAGGGTTACGTCAGCTCCCGTTCTCCATCCCGTTGGTGTGTCTTCCACAAAACGATAGCAGTTTGACAAACTCGCGTAAACCAACTCGTGCCTTGTTCGCCTATTGCTGTGAGCATTTCAGGGCGTATTTCATCAGTTCCAGCGGCCTTTCCGCTTTTCAAGCTTTTCACAGATTGTGCAGT